GGCGCGCACGCCGCCGACGGACAACCCCAGCGGGGAGTCGGGTTTGCAGAGCCTGGGGCTGGGCGAGACCTGCGGGAGGTTTCCACTGGGCACCGCGTGGCTCCTTTAGGCTGCGCTTCCAAATCCTATTTGTAGACTGGTGTATTCAGGGAAGCAGTCCTAGGCGCGTAATTTTGGATATGAAACAGACCCAAGTGGAGTGATTTGTTTACTTCCCTGAAGTGTAGGCGTGGCAGCCCAGGTCCCTTTGCTGTTGGTGCAGGTTCTTCCCCTTAGGGTCAGATATCAGAGGAAACCGGGCAGCTTTCGCTAAATCTTCAGAGATCGCTGCCACAGGCCTTGCTGCCTGCTATACTCAATGTGCCCAAGTCCTGTGACTTAGTGCCCTGACCCTTGTCCTCTACCTCGCCCGAGACTGAGCTCAGATCAGTGTTTGTGGGAGGCAGGCAGACAGACATGAGCAGATTAAGGAAGATGGGACCAGGTGCAAAAGATCACCAGAGCGGAAAGCCCCAGGTTCCTAGCGTTGGGCAAACTGGGTAATCAAGGACCTCGATCCCAGGGTAACCTTCCCTCCCGTGGCATATGTCTGGTCATGGAGCCTCCCCTGGCTTATCTCTGGTCATTGGGTTTTGATCCTCTGAACTTTTCTCCCGAGAAATACCATGGCCTCAGTTGTATTTCAGCTCCAGGTTCAAACAACATACAAGCTCTGCCATGGCTGACTTCAGGACCAGTTGCATTGAATAATGGTGCTGACCAATTTGTGCAGACCAAACCCTGAAATGACTTTACCTGGAAAGCTGATGAATATTCTATTGAGATTCTTCCCTGGGACCTGCCCTAAAATCCAGGAGCATGCTCTAGCCTTCCCCTCCCCATCTCCCTCTTCTTCCTCCCTACCTCTTCTTCCTCCTTACAGCCAGGCAAATTACCCTTACCTTTCTTTCTCCTAAGCTCCAAGGGCCCTTCCTTTGTCACTGAAATTTGTTCTCTGAGTTCATTTCTTCTACCTCTGTGATTTTCTAAATAAACCTTCTCTTGCAGTTTGAGTCTTGGCTCTGAATTTTTTCCTAGCCAGAACTCAAGTACCAAGGTTGCCGAACCAAGGTCTGGTCTGACTCCACCGGTCTCACACCTGCTGCCAACAGATTGAGGCATCTGGAAGTTTTTCTGGAGCCCTGATGGGGCAATCCACCAAGGTCCACTTCTTTGAGGGACTGCAGCAGCGAGGTTATCTTCATGGGAAAAGCGAGGCAATCTAGGCGAAAAGGTGGCTTGGAGTGCTTTTGCAGGATGCTTTACAAATGACTGCAGACTGAAGAAATATCATGTGGCCATAATCAAACAATTGGGTCCATTTACCCTGCTAGTACCACCAAGCCTTGGTCTAAGGCCGCGGGACAGAAGGGACAGTGATTCAGAGTTCTAGGTGATGAATGACCCTTATCCCCTCACTCCTAACCCAGTATCCATTTCGTGGACTCCTGCCCAGACCTGGCGAGAGAGGAAATTGTGATAAAGAGGATGCTGTAATCCTGCCCTTGTGGATGAGGTCAGAGACAGGAAAACTGTTATGTAATCCTTTGTGCAGCTACATTTTTACCCCCAAGTCTTGGTAAGTCTTGGGATAAATTTGCCATCCTGCAGAGAAATGACTCTAAGACTTTTAGATTTTAAAGACCAGTTTAAAATAAAAGAAAGGAATGTACTTAGATTACTAGCTTTTTATTGTGCTAAGAAAGGCAGTAAAAATTGTACCACACATATCAGTGAAACAGGAATTTTTAGGGGTGAAAAAGACAAGTTTTAGGAAATTTTAGAAATCAAGGGGACCATGGAAAAAGTACTGGGTTGCAGAGCAGCAGAAGGTATATCTCCATAGAATAAGGAAGCTGAAACCTGCAACAGGTACATTTCCATAGAATGAAGGAGCTGGGAACAGCAAAAGGTTTATATTTACAAAATAAAGGGAAGGAAGCCCTTAATCCAGAAGGAGAAGAAGAAAGCCCAAAGGGAATAGGAAAACAATAAGGAGGAGGGAGGAGGGAGAACTTCACATGTCTCATGTGTGTTCTTCAATAAATCTCCACCTTTGCTATACTACCCTCTGTTCATGGATTCATTCTTCAAATCCGGTGGACAAAGAATCCGGGTTCCAGTCCAAAAATTCCGTATCATCAGTGTGGCATTTCATAAACAAGATTTTCACACCATATTTTAGGAAGGACAGAATCACAGAATAAAGTTCTTTAAATGGATAAATTTAGCTTTTTGAAAAATTCCAGCCAACTTTTCTATTTTGTTTTATTTGGCTGCATATGGGCTGTGGTCCTCAGTCTAGAGTTTGAGACTGAATATCCAGAGAAGTAGTCAGAAAGGATAGTGAAGCAGGCCGGATGCGCTGGTGGGAGAAGACGTGGGTGCAGCTAAACTCTTGCCATGGTCTGCTCACTGTCCTGGACCGAGTCACCACTGCCCGGGATTGAGTTACATACTTCCCTTGGCCTCATTTGCCCTCCGATAAGATGAAAAGGCTACAGTAGATGATCTCTAAAGCCCTTTCCAGCTTTAAAAATCTCTTGATTCCATGATTGTACTTACTGAAATCTGGGGCTTTCCCCTTTACTCAGTCATCTGACGCTAGGTCACCACCCACCCCCTCATGTTGAGTCAGGCTGTACACCTCACAGTCTTCTTTGCTCGTTCCATCTCAATAATTTCCCATGTTCAGGAAAAATAAAATCCTTTCTTCCTCTTTCACATTTATTCCTAGTTACCATCCTAGACAAATCTAAATTTCTGCCATTGCCTAACCAGTCTTTTCTCCTCAAGCGTTTCCTACTTCAAACTCACCACCAACATAGTTCTTCCTAAGACATCCATTTCTCTATTCTGATATCTGTGATGGCTATCTCATGCCCACAGGGTGAAGTCTCAACTCCTGTCTTCAATTGCTCCAAGTCAAGCTTTCATTCTAGCCTGATTAGTTTCCTTCATTTCTCCAGTGCACGCTGTACAGTCCAGTTCCAAGTTGCCTGGTGCTCACATAATGATCGTGCCTGACCTTCCTCCTTCTTCACTCTACAGCTCTAGTCTCATTATCTCTCTGAGGGACTGTGTAGCATTTCTTATCTATGTTCAACACTTTGGCTTGCACATCATGAGACTATTACCTGCTTCACCTCTTTCACTGCTATCTGTAGGTCAGCTTACAGATCATCTCCAAACCCATGGAAGCCTGTTTTTCATTGCATTTATATCTCCCCGCATTATCTACCACCATGAATATTAGAGATAATGAATATTGGTCATTTCAAAAACAAAATGTGTATTTCTCCCATTTCATCCTATCCTCATTTTCATTTCCTGTTTCATATTCTGACTCCTCAGAGAACCTTTTCTTGGTGACTTTTCAGGGAAATTTATCAGGGGCAAGAAGAGAGTATGTCAGAGATCATCAGGTTCCTCAAGTAGGCTCTCCTCTCTAGTATACATGCATTTGACATAGAGTAAAGCTATCATCTGTGTGGCTTAACCATCCAGAAGGTGACAGGGATCCTGGGAGTTTAGAGTGAAAAGGGAGGAAAGGTCAGTAATGGTTTGACCTTAAAGAGAAGGTCTTGTATCTCCTCAAATCCCCCTCTGCAGGCCGTCTCGCACAGGCTTTGACAAAGCGTAGCTCCTCATAGCTTTTTCTAGAAGCCATTCTCAAGTCGGGGAAGATATAAGAACCAAAGGGAAAAAACCCACAAATAGAAGTACAAAGCCTAGACAGATTGTAAGGGAGAGAAGTTGTCAGAGAATGCAAATTCAGTTGATAACGAAAGCAAATTCAGCAACCAGACAAATTGCTCTTCCTTTTGTTCAATGTCAGGACAAGTAGCATCAATGTTCAAGTGCTTTTTCTTTCCCAATTAGACCAGCTCGCACTCAGGTAGCCCAGCGACCAAAGCAACAGATAAGTCAGAACGAAAGTTTAAGTCATGTGCTAATTAAAGAAAGCATCATTAGCCAGAGACAAGTGTGAGAGGGTGGGGGTTGATTTGCAGCTGTGAAATCATGGGACAATCAGAATTACCAACTGGGACTGGGGTGGGAAATACCATTCCTCTTTTATAATATGCTACTAAGGAATTACAAGAGAGAAAGAGCCAGTTTGAATCACCTAATTGCCAGAGTTTAATCTCTAATGGCTGTACTAGTATTTATATTTTCCATATAAGTTTATTTGAAGTATGAAGAATATGACAACACACTTATATGGTAATTTCGAATCAGCCTGCCAAGGATAATGTTCATATCCTCAAATCAACCTTGCAGTTTAACATAAATAATGAAGGGAATTTTAACCAAAGCAGCCTGGAATATTGGATAAAGTAGAAGACCCAAATTTTGTTCCTTATACCACAAGCTTGCTATAAGATAGTGTTGAAATGACCTATTGTATGCATTTCAATGTTTCACAACTTCAATTATTATAATTAGAT